AGTAAAGAAAAGGCACATCCTGCGTTTTGTTTGTTTTGACACTTGTCGTTCTCTGTTTTCCTGTCTTGCAGGGCGGTTTGGCTGGAGGAAACCTGTAACGAACTTTCTCGAGTAAGGATGCAGGTGTTGACAGCTGGATCAGGACCAGCCGAGGTGAGAGAAGAGAGGAGGTTTTCCTGTCCCCCGCCCACCGGAATGGAAGCACAGGTAAACACCTCATACTACCTAACACCCTTGTGAGCTAAGTCTTCAGTCACGCAGCATCAAAGAGAAACTTTGGGGATGCCCTTCACAATACACCCTTAGCACACAAGCAGGCAGTTTTATTAGCACAGTTGCGTCTGCACCTTCGATAAGTAGTGCCATGCCAATAGGAAGGAAATTTGTGTTGCGCAGTGCTAATATCCACTATGAAGAGCCGGGGCTTGTGGAACTCTGATATGCTCCTACGTCCAACCTCTTTGCTTGCCCTAAACAACAGCTCTCTAAGTAAAGCCCCAACCATTTCTACTGACACTAAGCAACTGCCTTCCTCTGTGTTGGAGGATTGGGAAATCGTATGAACAGACACTTGAGTTTATGGTTTTTATCAGTGGCTTTCCTACACCAGTTGTGCATTTCACTGAGCCTGACAAAGGATAAAAGCGCTTTAATGTTTTATTTTGAATCTGTGATTTTTTTGAGTCAGAGGAAGAAACAGAAGTGGCAGAATGTCAGCACTGCAAAATTACTGTGTCCCCTGATAGCCATGGATTAGAAATGTCTTATTTTTTACTGTTGATTTAACAAAATTGTGCAGAAACTGCCTAATTCCCCTCACGGCTGACCCGGAGTTTGTGAGGTGTAAATTCTCAGATACACTACTGTGCGTGCGTGAGTGAGGTTGTGTACTTGTGGTATTTCCTCGACTGCGGCGACTCTGCAATGTCGAGACAGGCCCTGTAAGGCACGAGCATTTAGCGAGTCATGATTCAGAGGCCCAGGGAGATGTAGAATTGTTCATTGTATGTTTAATACCACTGTGCTCAAAATAAGACACGGTGGGACTATGGCCTCTTTAAACTCTAGGACCGATTTGTTTCATAATTACAAATTGTGGGGGGGATGTAAGGGGAAAATATAGATGTTGAAGATGGTGTCCAAGAACTTTTTGATTCTGGTAAATTGGGCATTTGGGAATGTGCAGGCTCTTACATGACTGACTCTAGGTAAAACTGGAGCCGTTGAAGGTCTCGATGTGAGTGACATCATCTTGATTTACTTGCAGGGCTTGATGAGAATGACATCATCCTGCATAGCATGTGCAGCCCAGTTTTGTCTACTGTTGCCATGGGCTGGGAGCGTTTCTGTAGGAGCAGACTAATGTAGACAGTGTGCATGTTGTTAGAAACAGGTGGGGGTTGTATTAAGGTAATAGTAAAATAATCCTCCGATACCACTTAACAATATCGGGTAACCTGCCCCCTGTAGTCCAGAATGAAAACCTGAATGATCAAGTGGTTTCTTTGTTTTCCTGGCACAGTGAGATGGCAGAGCACCTCTCACTGGGAAGAGGCACAAACTTAAAAGACAAATAAATACTTAAAGCACTTAAATACAAAATAATATGCAAACTGCCAACAAGATTACAAATTATTCTGCAATGACCGTGGGTCCCTGAGCCCAGACCTTAAGAGTCCTACAGTATGTTGCCCTTGTTTGTCTCTCTCAAGCATGGACCAACCTTAGTGTAAGATAAAAGAGACACTGCAGCTTAGGAGGGAAAGCTGGTTTCTGAACAAAGACCTATATCTATGATGGTATAACCTCCTGGGAGACGTCCTGGGAAAGCTAAAGTTGCTGTCACAGGAGGTGTTAGTGGCGACTAGTAGGAACGCTCACCCCACAGTCTATGTGGGTCCTAATGCCCCCGTATAGTGACAGGGACACCTATATTGTAAAAGAGATGCAGTCAGCCCTTCGGATCAGACATAAAACTGAGGTCCTGACTCACCATGGTTAATCCCAGAGCGCTTTTCAAAAAGATAAGGGGTATTACCCCACTGTCTGGGCCAAATTTCACTTTGGCATTTGCCAATCATATTGGCCTTCTAATATTCCCCATCTCTGAACTGGCTTCCTCACTCTGCTCTCCTCTGGGAGTTGAATCCATCAATGCAATAAATGTGTAAAAATTTAATCTTTCATTTCCTTTTTGGTGCGAAATTATGTTGGATAAAAATCCTATAAAACGCTTCTGATCTGAAACTTTTTCACAGTACTAGATGTGCAATGTGATATGTGATCATACAGCCTGTGAAACAGAGCCCTCTCCTCCCTCCTCAATTCCCTAAAATGCTCATGCCCAGTGACCTCATGAAACAATGGAGTGATGAGTTTTTCAAAGTGTTTGCTACATTTTTGTTTGTGTTGGTGGTGGTGGGGGGAGAGATTAGCAGAAGTACCTGACTTCCTGTGTGCAGCAGTGAGAGAGAGCTCCGCACGGCAACCCCAGGTCTTGCTCCGACAAGCCACGAGAATAATTTGCGGTCTGCACAGCTCAGACAGGCTGACACAAGCTCTGCTCCCCAGCCCTCGTTCATAAAAAAACAGCCTGCAGAGGCTGACAGATTCATGACATAAGGGCAAAAAAATTTTCTTGCGTAAAATGGGGGGATCATGTTCCAATAACCCGACAAAGCCTGGGTCTTAAGCTCATGTTCTTGAGCATGATGGTGAAGATGAATCACAGCGCGTGCAAAAGAATCCTGCTTGATTTGTGTAGCTCCTCAATTCAGTTCAGGGTTCTGGAGATGCATGCCCCCTAAATTAAACTTCATCTGGTAATGGGTAATTTTTAAAACTTGTTAATTTGGTTTTGAGTTAAGTTTGCACTTGGCAGGTCTCGCATGTTCTAGTAACTATTAATAACGCTTTTTTATGTTTGAAATAGATCCGACTCTCAAGAAGTCTTTGCATGTGCTGGCTATTGGGTACGCTTGCAGGTGAATCTTGACCTTGACTTACTATTTTTCATAAGGAAAAACAGGTTCAATAATAAATAATGGCAGTCCTGGGTTTTGCTAGGTCCCATGTCGCTCATTGTTTTGACGCCCTGTTGACCCTATAGTCACCTTCCTTTTGTTGGGTGGGGGGAAAATAGCGTTCCTCCCCAAGCTAGCTGTTCCCTTTCCTGCGCCAAAGAAAGCCTTTTCCCTAGAAAACGTGACTCTGTAATCTTGTGAGGAAGATGAGATGGGTGTTTTCGGGAGAACTCGGGAGGATGAGAAGGTGCAGTAGACTGAATAATTTTTTGCCTCGAGAAAGGAAAAAAGGAGGTGGTGTCACACAGTGAACACTTTATGCAGTGCTTCCTGGATGTCCAGAAGCTGCGAGAATTGCTGACAGTGGAGCACACCAGCTACATCCAAGCCTGCATGATCTGTTCTGGGATCAGTCCAGGAAAGAGCTGCGGCGAAGGGCATTTGCCGCTCGGTATAGAGATTGCATCACAAGGCTAGCTCCGATGGCTTTACAGTGTGCAACCCCTCCGCTCTCCAGCCCAGACCCATGCTGGCTGCAGCTGGGAACATCTGGACCTCTGGCAGGTGGTGCGGGGCGTGATGCGTGATGTTTATGACGTGCAGTACTGAGAAATGGGCTCTCCCGGGTAATCAACGCTACAGCTCTCTGATGCCGTGACCTTTCTGAGCTGGAAACCAGGGAGCCCTACAGCGCATCTGAACTGAGAGCAGCGATGCCGTTCTGCTTAGCTAGCAAGGGCACGTAAAGGTCTTTACAGCGCACTTTTCTCAGAAAGCCTGAACACCATTTGCTGACATATCGGTAGATTTAAGATTGTGGCGTTTTTTTTATTTGCACAATCTGAAACTTGCCTCTCGAAGAGTTATACATAGAAAACAGAAACTCCTCCAGAGACACTTTTGGCAGTGAAAACCCGGACAGTGTCACTGGCATCGATTTTTTCAGGTGCTCTTAACTTTTTTGCAGGCCATGGAATGAATCCTAAATCCCTTTTTTTCCTGTGGGGGAGTCGGGGGGCTGGAGATTGGAGCCGATCCTGTATTTTGCTTCCAGCTACAATCTTTTCTGGAAGCTGTGCCCATTTTCATACAAGTCAAATCAAACTAGTGTCCTATACCTTTGCCATGAAATACCAGTTCTTTTTTGTAAACGTGTCTGTAAGACTTCGAATTTAAATGTCAGGCTTACAGGAGCCAGCACAGTGTGGCCTTGCCGCAAGTTGCTGGTCACCTAGGAGCAGCGACTTCAATGTTTCATACTGTCATGCCTTTAAAATGGCAAGATAAATAGGACTGACTTCCTCCAGTGGTAAAGCGTGTGTTTGTTGTTGTTTTTTCCATGGAGCAAAATGAGAATCAGCTGAGGTCTTGGAGACAAGTGAGCCGTTTCAGATGGAGCCTGATTGGACAGGTTGGTGTTTTCTAAAAGGACAGAGTCTCCTGATCCCCACGGATCCAAGATCTGTCCTGCTGTGTTTTTAGTTCTGTGTCAGGTGGATGGGTTTGCAAGCAGTAATAACGAATTTCTGTGAAGTCTGGGCCGTGTGTGCTGTTGGGGGGTAAGGGCACAAACCTCAATAATGTCAGATCCCTCGTTTTGTAGATTTATGAAAGTAATTAAAGCCCGAGGCCCAGTGAGAACCCTGTGACCCCTGGCTCTTGCCTTTCAGTTAATTCGTTCTGGTTTCACATCCCTGTTTGTGCATTTTGAGATTGCGGCCGGGACGCGCTGGCTTCTCCCTTGAAAGAGGCCTCGGTGTTGCAGACGCTGAGTGTAGAAAGTAAAACTGCGTTGCACAACGGCTTCCGAACACTGTGCGACGCCAATTCCCCTCCCCCCCACGACGCATCTCACAGTCAGGGCAAGACTTCTCAGACCTAAGCTGTTTTTTTTTTTTAATGGTAATGAATGGGAAACCAGAGATATAAAAGCAGAAAAAATAATTGATGGAAAAGATCAAATTAAGTGTTTAGCTAATTAAATGAAATATTTTGTTCTTGGAACTCCAAAGTTCCACAATTATGTGGGAACTGGTTCAGGGGGAGTCCTTGAAAAAGGACACTCTGGGTTCCTAATAATTGTGCCTTTAGAGGAAGTTATTGTCTTGGGTGGTACAGCGAGCAGGGTGTGTACTGTCATGATGTGCTGCTCCTGATGTATCAAGATGATATCAAGATGTGATACTGTGCTGAGTTTATTTCAGGTTTGATCTTTCAACCAAAGAAGTGAGCACAAGGAGATTCTGTCACTTAGCAGGGGGCGGATTTAGGGCCACATCAAAGAAATGTTTCTTTTTTTGTTTTTGCATAAATACGTGCGATGTACAATTTGTTGTGCGAAAACATTGGGAGAATCCCTCTGAAGTGCGAGACCGGTTTTGTTTTAGGAAGAAAAGAAAGGGCGCAGAGCCAGAAGGTGCCTGTAGTGTGTGGGGCACAGCAGTC